AGAAGCACAAAAAATGAGTGCAAGGTCAGTGAAAATCAGTTGGAGGGCTGTGAAAACCTCACATCAATGGAATCAACTATTCTTAAAAAAAATTCTGAACTCTGCAAACGTAATCTTTGCGTCGGCTAGCCTCAGTTCTAGGCGTTCTGATTGTGGGGACAGCGCAAAAGACAGGAAAAACAGCGAGAGGGTGTGAGGGGGGGGGGGGGGGGGGAGTTGTTGTGTTGGGGGGAGAGGGGATAAAAAGAGGACAAACGGGGGGGGGGGGGGGGGGGGGGGGGGGGGGTGGATAGCAGGGTCTGGAAGGATATTCCTTGATCCGGGAGTTGACCAAATCACAGTGCGGCATTCGGGAAATGTTGAGGGGAAACGGGATTTGACTGCCTCTGAGGAAGCGGGATCGGATGCGGGATTGGGAAAGAAAACGATGTTCGGAATATCGTTTACAGAGGTACGGGACGCGGAATTCTCGTGAAAAAGTAGCAGGAATGCGCGATTAGGATCCCCCCCCGCCCCCCTTTTTCAGACCTTAGTGTAGAGGGTAGCTCCACTGTCAGAACGCATGGAACAGTTCAAGCTATGCATCGGCTCAGGTTAAATGTTTACATTTTTTAGGTGGTATGCATTTTTCTGGTTGTATTTCAGATTTGTGAAGCATGTATATTCGTCTTCGCCTGAGGCATTAGTAGTGTGTGTTTTCTCTAAAAGACCCTGACCTTTCAAAGTAGTCCGAAGTCCGTTTCAGAATACTACGCTTTTTAGTTTGTCGTTGTTGTTTGGCCTGCGGGGGAGGGGAAGGGGGAGGAGGAAATACGGCTGTCGCACAAGTCTAAGAAGGAAACGGGTGTTGAACGAACTACTCCGGCTAATTTTAATTAGCCGGAGTAGAATAGAAAGAGAATACAAAGAGAATACATGAGAGAATACATGAGTACAGTAATGAGTACAGCTCAAAGAGAATAGAATATCTTTGAGCTGTACTTGATTTGTTTCAGAGCACTATAGCACTTGCAAAGTAACTGATGTGATTCTTTCCTTTTTTTGAAATTCAAAATTACGATTTGATTTTGACTGATCACGATCTATCAAGTGCCATCAAAAAGACCAAACCTTGAGTAAGAATTCTCGTACAAGGACGTTTGAAAAAAGGGAGTTGACCAACGTCGTCTTCGTTAATGTGGAGCGACGGGGTTACAAGTGTAGCATGAAACATATGCCGTGATTTGAAAAGAAATCAAAACAAATGATGACGTGATAAAACATTACGAATTCTTCTTTTATCGATTTGACAAGAATAACTTACGTGATTACAATATTTTCACTTTGCTATAATCGATTTATCACGTGGAGATCGACTAAGGGCTACAAAAAATCACAGTTGGATTCTATTATGAACGACTTCACTGGATCTATGACCCACTTTCACTAAGGACTGGCCTTTTAGAACCTTTGAAATATCATAGTGAGAAAAAAGATGGAATGATTTTTCAAGCTGGAATACTTGTAAAATCATGCTTGGAATTTACCGGTTGTTTATACTTCTAATCTCCGTCATGCAACAAATTAAGTCGATTAAATAAAAAGTAGTTTAAAACCATAAGTAGAAGTAAATACATGCAAATGTAGGATAAACTTAACAAGAAATTTTGAAGTGAACTATTAAAATTTAACCCTTCATGATCTCGGTTTTCTCGAGTGTATGATTTCTGACTTAATAAAATGCCGTGCTATTTAAAGTATGACCTTTGAAGTGAAAGCTCTCGAACATAGCTTTTTGATGCAAGTATTTCAGAAAAAAGAAAGACTGGATTACCCCTGAATCCTTGTCTTTTGAGGTAATTGGCTACTTATCTTTCCTTACTCGGGACACGTTGTTCAATGACTTCAGTAGGTCACTCCCTAAGGCAAGTTCAAGGTACACTCACGACCACGTAGAAGTTGGGCCTCCATGCTGTGATTGATAATAATGCGGTAACTAAATCGTATCAACAAAGGGTGTGTGTTTGCCAGGTCTGAGAGTCAAAACCTGATTGTTTATAAAAAACACAAAAGAGAACACGGTGGGCTCTGTTGCATTGGCCAGTATTGCACCTAATTAAAACCCATTTTCCGGTTCGAAGCTCAAACTTAGCCACTACAAAATATAACAACATATTGCTGACATCGTCTCGAGCTTCTACAATTGTCATTTTGTTTCGTCCACGGTGGAATAATCTCGTGATTTTCCAACAGAGTTACGAAACGAGGTATCATGCACAATTGACAAAACAGAAACTCGATATGAGAGGATGAATTTTAAAAGTTTCCGTGAGGAAAAATGGCGCTTTACCTGGTAGAAGCGAAGACAATCGACTCACCGCGACAGTAGACAAGAACATACGAAGCTTGAGTGCATGAATTTAGGGCCGAAGGCTGCTCAAACACACGTGCTTTGCATCATCCCATCTTAAGCCAGTCCAGCAGTGCAGGCTTTCTCAGTTATTACAGGAATCGGTGTATTTCCAGCTGCAAGCACGGTTCAGTTGCTCTGAGGTTTGACTGGGGGTGAACGATTTGCTTCAACACGCGTTCAAATTACAAATTTGTGACACGAAGCAGCGTGAAGTAATTGAAGACGACACAAGTCTTGAGTGCTGATAACTCTTTGGATTTTTGATCGGTGATATGCTGGCGGAAGGCACGCGAAACATTCAACATACGTAAAATCGAGACATCGTGGATGCCGAACTAAACAAGGTGAAAATACAATGCATGCTATTGAAGGCGTCCAACTTCAGGAGTATGCTTCCGATCAGGGTGTCAAATGTCGTAAAAGTGTGCCTTTTGTCAGTAGCAAGTCGTCCTGGGCATGATACCCAAGAACACTTTTGTTGAAGATCTTTATTTAGAGTTTGATCAGGATCCTCAACAATCTGAGCAATGTGAAACGACATGGCGAAACTTTGCGGAAAATGTCTGTTTTGAGACAGACATTCTCTTTTAAGACATACCCTTCCGGCAGGGATAATAGCCCGACGGTCGAACATAGGAGTGAGTGAAAAGTAAATAAATAAATAAACAAGTAAATAAATAAATATGGAATGAATGAATGAATGAATGAATAAGACTAAAAGCCGAAATATTTACAAGAAGAAGACGGTCAATTCTTTTTAAGACTGACACGCCTGAACAAGTTGAAGCTTAAGTTTAGAGAATCTGATAAAAGATAAAAGCACTCTCCCTTTGGTGATCATTTTTAAAATTCTCATAACCTTTCCTCTTGACGTTGGGAGGAGAAAATTAATAATGTTGCTCATTCTTGGGACATAAAAGGGCTGGGGGGCTGTCCGTCTTATAACTGAAGAACGGAAGAGACCAACTCTGTCCGTTAGAGAGTCACAAAAAAATGACTGATGGATCGGGACGGAGAGTAACTCTAAATATTCGTTTTAGGGGTCCGCAAGAGCCATAATGGGTCTCGGTGTCCGCCTTATAGAGTGTCAGGGAAAATACCTGAAGAACGGCAGACTTCAACTCAAGGTACCCATTAACCAGGGAAGGTGGAACCGGGGAGGGTTTTAACGTAACTGTTTAGACCCTAAGATCAAAATTTGATCTTTTGGTGTATTGCAGCGAAATGCGCAAAATGACGATGGAGGAGGAATAAACCGCTTTTTTTAAAGAACTGTGCATCAGTCGGGAGCACGTCCTTCCAATCGGCCGGGTTAAGATGCAATCAACCTTTGGAAACTTCATGTATCCCAAGGGTAGCATACAAACGTTTTAAAGCGCAGAAAAATAATGGCCGATGTAGTGGACAACCATACATACCCGTTTTTTTTTTTGGTTTGTTTTTCCTTTATTCACCAGACAGTAAAATCTAAGAAGGCCTCACGCTTTTTCCGTATATCACATATATAAAAATATCAGAAATGGACTCTGCACTCATTTATCAAACCACTTCTTTATTCCAACTACTTATAATTGCACCAAGGCCGGCTGGTTTGCCCAAGCATTGCTATTTGCAACACTATGAGTAATATTTACAAAGTCAAAATACTCACAATACTTTCTCATCGAAAATGTAGAAATTATCTTTATCTTAGTAACATGAAAATATAGAAGTCAAGAAACACCAATCACATCATATAAAACTAAATCATTTTTTTTTCAAAAATACAAAAAATTTTTTTTCAAAATTCTAGATTTTTGTCATCAAAGATGATTGATTGCTTTTTATTAATTACCAGATCCAGATCACTGACAATTGATCGATTTTTATTGATTGAATATAAGATTGTGGTCATTTTCCTTCTGACCCTCACTCAACACCAGTCTTTTTCGATTGGGGATTTTAAAGGGGAGGCATGAAGTCGTGGGGGACCAGCACGGTAACGCAATGCAGGCGACTTCCCTCGTGAATATGTTCATATTAAACACAAGAAAGAGAGGCCTGAGGGATTGAAAGATGGTTAACCCAGGGTTAAGGGAAGTTTTAAACAAAGTTTCTGGTCAAGGGGCAAGCTTAAATAACCTAATAAGTCTAACAGTCGAAAACTGTCTAAGATAGTAAATCCAACAGAAGGTTAAAAGATTAACCTTGCGTTAGCTCTTATCGACCTTCAAGTCCACCTAATCAATGGCCTCATGTAGGGAAATCCAAGACAGTCTTGGATTCTGGATTCCATGCTATGGATTCCGAATTCCAGGTATTGGATTCCGGATTCTTTTTCATGAGTGGAACTTGAATTCTGGATTTCAATCGTTAGTGGGATTCCGGATTCTTTAAGCTGTAATTCCAGAGCCCAGGATTCCAGATTCCACAAGCAAAACTAACTTCCCGGATTGCGGAATCTGGATTCCCTTACATGTGGCGAAATCAAGCTTCCAACTGTAAGGCTCGTAATAATTTGTCATGCTTAAGATCGCTACTACTTAAAGTGATTTTAGTTCTAATTAAAATGGAGACTACTGTAACCAAATAATTTCAAAGACATAGCCTTGCTGTTGAAGAATTGTGTTCATACTCTGCTAACTCCGTAATTGGTAAAGGAGTTTCTTAACTCTTCAAGCATTTTCACCAAGTTCCCTTTATTCTTTTTTTTTACTCTGTCCATAGCTGTTTTGTCCGTAACTGGTCGTACCATCTTCTCTTTAATCTGCAAACCAATACATAAGTGAATTCCACACCTTTTTCTAGGACTGTCTTCAGATTCAGCTGCCGGAATTACAGTATTCGAGGCCTTTAAAGTTCCGTCAATTTCGATGATGAGAGAATATACTGAAGCTGAAACAGAGAGAGCAATTAAAGTAAGCACAGTGTACGGGTAGAAGACGCAATGGAAACAATTTATGGTAAGTACAATAAAACCAGCATGTAACACTATAATTGTCAAGGGACAGGAAAAATCATTCATTATGACGGGGGTAAGTTATCAGGCTCCCATACAATTTACTATGATGTATCTTGAAATTGAAGAACCGGGCTTCTCATCCCCGGGAAATAGCGAAGAATTTAACATTGACACGGTATTAAAATACCGCTAATTTCCCAGCCCCTAGGGAAAGCTAGTGTGTTAAAAGCCCCATATGCGCAGCGTCAGAAATTTAGAGCCAAATAGAATGCAACTCAATGTGCGTTTTTGTCTTGGAATTGACTGTCCTAATTGTGTTTCCTAATCCCTGAGTTCTTGGCTTTAGTCCTTTCCCACTTCCGGTGACAAACGTGCATGTGTGCTGTTAAAATAAAATCACCACTCAAGGCCAGAGTGTTATTTTTTACAACGCCTTCGATCCAGGCTTTGACCGCGTTTAATCTCCCCGATGTCCCATGGGTCAGGGGGCCGGCACTTCCACTGACGCATCATAAATAAATAGGCCGAGGTAAGAATGTCGTGCGTTATATACCGAGGGTTTCGTTACATGAGGGTTCCCTAAATCGAGGTTTCACTCTACAGCTATTTTTTTTTCTGTGAAACACGCCACCGTTAGCGCATGGAGGTGGGGGTGGGTAAAAGAGAAAATAGACGCTCGCACCCCCCATTCGTTCTTGCGCGCTTGTCAAATGCTCCCCAAAAAGAACAGAAAGAATGAAAAAACGTCTGGCGCCGGTTGTCCTAACGTTGGACGGAGCTATCCACCGGATAAATCACTATCCACTGGGTAAGTATTATGGAAACCAATTGCGTTGTTTAAAGGACAGAGATTTATCTAGTGGATAGCGTTATTCACCTTTAGAACAACTTGGGCCTGGAGGATAGATAAAATGGACACATACATGGCTAAATATAATAACTCACATTCGTGATATCCCGGATTCATGTCTAGATGGTCTTCTTGGTGAGGTTTGTTGGAGGTGGTCATGATCTTCTTGTTCGGCGAAATAACTAGAGGAAAGGTATCAACAGTATTTAACTAACAAAACCCCGACCGTAAATAAGCGCCCATCCAATTAGAATAATTTTTTTTTTTCGGGGTCCAAAGGAATGGAATGGCCTACCTGACAATATTAGGAACACTAAAGATATTGATAG